ACAAACAGGTGGGGGGGCAAAAACATTCGCCCATTCTCGCTTGACCTTTTTCGTTCGCCAGAATCGCTGTCCGTTATCAAAGAGTTCCTCAGCGAAATATTCCTTAAATCTCTACCAGATAGATCACAACCTCCCTCACTATGCACCGTTTTCAATATGACGCAATATCCCACGGAGGCCTACACTAATTGCTTCAGCCTGAAGCTCTTATACAATTCCTTTAGTAATCGATCCAATGTTGGATAGATTCCTAGAGACCCTAGCTCTGACTGTGCAAACCCCCTCCAAGCCCTCCTTCCAGAAAACATCATAATGGTACGCGATCCGTCGAGGATGCCATTGAGTTTGACCAGTGCACTACTTTCCGAGGCAATCTTCTGATGCCGTCCAAGGCCACTTATGAAGTTATTTTCACTAAAAACAGTGGTTTCTCTTCAACTGAGTTTGCGAGGCATCGCTTTAATTTAGAAAATGTGATTGGATCCATTTGAATGTGGAGAGAGAATGTCTATTTCTGACTACAGCCCCTCCCCTTAATAAGCCCTGCTTCAGACACACTGCGCATCTAAGGTTTCGTAGATTTTGTGAATAAAACAAGAAACAAGGGTGCTTCCCATAGCCATTCACTAACCGCCCATCACTCTTATTACATTTTCTTCATGAGCCACTTCTCTTTCCAATCACCTAGTTTGCTTTTTCAAGGGCCAAAATTCAGAGCCTTTTACATTACTTTGAAGCCCAAATAACCAAAAGCCGTTGAGCTTCGAACATTTTTGAACACTTCCCTAAGAGTATCAACGAAAGCCATTCCTATCACAGCTCATCTGCAATGGACACGCTCGTACCAGAAGACATATCTATCGGCAGGCCGGTAAATGCATTCTCGTGTCTCAACGAATGGACAATGAACGATCGTTGTGAAACACGTTGCTTGGCTCAAATTCCAACATCAATAACCACAAATTCAATTTGGCGCGACTAATCCGCGCAAAGAAAGGGGGCAATTGCGCAATGCACTTATGACCTGCATAAATATATCATGTTTTTTAACAACAGAGAAGCTCCAAAAGTTTTATTCCAAAAGAATTCCAAAAGTTCACAAAAGTCCAAATACTCCAAAAAACGAGCCAAAAATTTTAAAAGAATTCCTTTGGAAACTTCCGCGATATTACATAGAAGGTGTTATACACCGAAATATCGCGGAAGTTTCCAAAGGAATTCTTTTGAAATTTTTGGCTCGTTTTTTGGAGTATTTGGACTTTTGTGAACTTTTGGAATTCTTTTGGAAAAAACTTTTGGAGCTTCTCTGTGTTAAACAAATTTAGGTCCTGATGAGGCTCCGGGACAGCACAATACTAAGAAACATATCATTTTTGGTAAGAAATTTGCTGGGTACTAAGCCCCGAGCGGGTGAGGCGAGACTTCAGGGCACAAGAGCAGTTTTCATTTTCTTCAATTTACCGGGTCCCTCCTAGACATAGTCTAGAGGATGCCCCTGTTTCTTGCGATAGCGCCCTTCATTTTTGCATGTGTAAAATAATATTGCGTATTAGCGGGTTTATTTCCTTCAAAATACATGTACATTTGTGTATGAATGAGAACAATCATGTATGTGACCAACATTGAGAATCATGAAGCTTTCGCCTTTCGTCTTTATGTATAACATATATAGTATGCGTATTTATCCATATGGCGCCGCTGTGTCGGATCATCACATCAGAAACATTTCATTAGCGCTAATTTGTTTGTTTTGCGCCATCGCGACCAAAATGATATTTGTGAGCGTTTCACTAAATCATTCCTATGCAGGCAGTATTTCCTCCATCTTGATGTAGTAATTTACGAGTTCAGAACTGAAAACGGTCAGAAGGTGACTAAGAGAAAGACTCTTATATCAAAAATCATTTACAATAACGAGGTCAATGATCACGATGAAATAGACATAATTGGTGATGATAATGAGATCATTGTCGTATCAGTAGGAAACTTGTTCTAATCGAATCACTGCTGAACAACTTCTGTTTACTGCTTCGACTGGTGCTCGGAACACCATTGAAGCAGCTTGTCGTTCGGTCTGTAAAGAAAAAGAAGTCATAATGGGAAATGTTCCTGGCGAGAAATTCCAATTTTGAGCACGAAAATCCTCTATGACTGGGCTGAATTGTCCTCACAAGCACAAATGAGCATCAACAGCACCATCTCTCATACAGACGGAATGGATTGAATCCGCTGCTTGAGTTCCGGCAGTGATGGGATATGCGAATGATGGATTCAACTAAGGGATACAAAGCAGATTAGTGATATCTTACTCAGCCTCGGCACTTCTGACAAGGGAGGTCTTTCAGGGCAAGCCACGCTTTTTCAAAACGGTTTCTTGCATATTGTAGGGACGCATGTAGGGAACACAAAACCATGTTTCATTTTCGCTGAACGGTTTTAGCAGCAAAAAAGAAGCATAAGGTACTGTTAATGGTTCGATCCCCGTGGCGACTAAATTTTGCATTTGGGTTGGCGCCTACGGTTGGTGCCAAATCGCGCTAAATATCAAAATCAGATGTCAAATTCATCGTCAGGACCATTTTGAAGCCAATAAGTG